CACCCCATAAAGCCTATAGAAAAGCATACTCAACAGTAGCCTACAAAAATGTCAGTAAACCACAAGGGAAGATTATTTTCCATATATGTAATAGTTATAAGGGTATTAGAAATTAGCGTGGAAAGGCTGGTCCGATGGCAGTGGGTTATCAGAACTTATTAACATTAGTGTCGGGGGCTGGGGATTTAGCTTGGCGGCATAAGCGCCTGCCTTGCAAGCAGGGAGTCGTGAGTTCGATCCCTGGTACCGATAAAAAGAAACAAAACAAAAAATTAGTGTCACTAAAGTTGGTATACCACCCCGCCCCCCACTGCTAAATTTGACTGGCTTAAAAAAAAAAAAATAGCGTGGAAAGCAGCCTCATCAAGAGTCTCCCAAGCAATGAAGGAGTCCCCTTTACAAGAGGCCATCTTTGATGCCTTACCACTTTCAGTGGAAAAGGGAGCTCCTTCTGTTTGGGGACAGACTTACAGAAGGAACACTTATAGAAAGCTTCAGAGGGCGATATAGATACATAGGGGATACTTAAATGTTACTAGTTGTTACTAGCTGTTATTCCTGTTTTATAATAAGAATGCTTTCTTTCTTTTTTGCCTTTTGAGACAGGATCTCATTTTATGTAGTTCAGGCTGGCCTTGGGGTAACTTTGTAGCCCGTGCTGCTCTTGAACTTGCAACAAGATCCTCCTGCCTCAGCCTCCTGAGTGCTGGGATTACAGGAATGTGCCACCTCGTCCAGCTAAGAATGCATTTTTAATCATGCTAACATTTTACTGTGAACATTTTCTTTTTTTTTTTGTCTTTTTCCTTTTTATCGGTACCGGGGATCGAACTCACGACCGCCTGCTTGCAAGGCAGGTGCTTATGCCGCTGAGCTAAATCCCCAGCCCCTACTGTGAACATTTTCACATACAGACAACACTTAAAGAAATCTATGGTCAACTGCCTGAATAGTTATACCTAGGTCTATCATTAACCTTTTAGGACACTTGTTTATCATGTATTTGTCTGCTCATCAAATCATCTCAGTTCTTGATACTTTTATTTTTAAAAAACTTGTTTAAAAAGTATTAGCTAAATATACTTCCTGAAGCAGGCAGCCAGGAACTCCATTTTTTCTTTTTCTGAAATAATGGGGATCGAACCCAGGGCATCTGCCCTGAACTGCATCCCCGGACCTTTTCATGTATTTATCCTTTAGACTGAGACAAAGACTTGTTACGTCACCATCTTGCCCAGGCCAGGCTCAAATTTGGCAACCCTCCTGCCCCAGTCTCCCAAGTGCTGAGATTACAGGCATGTGCCATCAAAGCCTGAGTCTATCCTCTGTTTTTTAAAAAAGGAAATCTAAGCATATGGATTAGACCTAAGAAACACATGTGACTCTTGGTTCATAATCTCTGGGTTCCTTATTGATGGTGATGAAAAACATATCCCATTTTATGACTCGTTACACTTAGCTGTCAGGTGCGACAAGCAGTTACGTGCAAACTAAAGACAGACTAGTTTGAAACTTGAGTCTGCCAATTATTAGCTACGAGACCCTAGGCAACTCTTTAATCCTTCTAGATTAGTTTCCTTTCTTGCAAAACAAGATAGTAATACCAGTATCAAAGAGTATGAGATTTAATTCAGATGAGGTATAAAATGCTTAGCGTAATTGCTATATACAAAGGGCACAACAGAAGTTAGCACATGTTAAGGCTAATATCTAGGTTTCCCCCAGTCCTCAGATGCTTACAGGTGGGGCTTTTCAGAGATGGCTGGATCCAGAGCAGAGATGATGGCAACCCTTATAGAGCTTTCACCAATATGAACCCACTACTGTGGCATGTGTGCCACAGGGTCGCTGCCACTGATCTTGGAAGTGTGATGTTGGGATTAAGGTGTGTGGTCCATTGTAGTTCTGGGTGTGGATAATGAGAAGGCCCACTCTTGGTGTGGGTGGTACCAACAGGTTTGCAGCCAAGGTGGGATAAAAAGGAAAGGGATATTCACTGCTGCTTCCTGCCTGTCCTGCTTTGGAGCCAGACTATGAACTGAAACCTTTACAAACTGTGAGCCGAAATAAACCTTTCCTCCTTTAACTTGGGTATCAGGTACTTCTGTCTCAGCAATGAGAAAAATAGACAGCAGTTATTATAACCCAATTATTAGCCCATACAATCTTCCCACAACAGGGTGTGGCTGTCCACGGCTAAACATACCCTTGCAAATGTATCACGCTTTCATGACACACCTACTTTAAATATCCTGGGTGGTCTATGTTATTGAAGTTAGATAGGAAGAGGGCAAATAGGTCTGAAGGGCATGCGTCATCCATCATCCCATTCTGTTCTCTGAAGGAAATGCAGTAACGGGGATCACAGAAGCACACACACTTTTGCTGTGTTTCTGGTTGACAGAAGCAAGTAAAAGACCTAAAAGTGTTCAGTCTACTTTAGACAACCACTGCTTTCTCTTAGAACTATCTGTACACAATATTCCAAACTGTGTAATCCTGAATTTCTACCAAATCTGGTCTGATTCAAACCAAATGTCATGTATGTATGTATGTATGTATGTATGACTTATTGAGGCAGGGTCTTGTTATGCAGTCCAGGCTGGCCTTCAACTTGGACTGATCCTCCTGCCTCAGCCTCCCAAGAGGAACGTACTATGACTGGCTCAAAATGTTCTATGCTGACCACATGTAAAAACCTTTGTATCTGCAGTGTATGTATACTGTCTTAAACTTCACTCAAAAGCAGTAGCATTGTATGGTAATTATAAAACGATTGTATGTATATTGTAGAAAGCAATACACATTTTATTTGTAGCATGATTCTCATTTGAGACAGAAATACAGAATCAAAGAAGAAAGTCTGCTATGCTAAATATGAATTGGCTATATCACTAGAAACATATATACATAAGGAAAGACAAATTTTTCAGTTCTGTTCTCCCAAGTGGGCATGATTTCCTGGTAGTAATGAAGATGCCAAACATCCAGATCCTGGCTTCTATGCACCGTTCATCACTAAAAGGAACCAAGACTCTTGGATAAACAGCCTTTCCAGATGTGAAGCAAAGTACAAAAGCAGCCCAGGTCATCTTGTGCCAGAAAGCACCTGAAGATTCATTGCCAGCAGGGTGTGTGTCACCAGATTCGCAGCCAACTAGAAAAGGGTTCTTACCATCAAACACAGGGCAATCTGGTCATCAAAAAGGGACCATAACTGGTTATAAAACAATGAGTAAATTAAAATTCATGAGTTCATTGTGGTATTAACACCAAAAATAATAAAAAAAAAAACCTATTTGCCATCACTGAGGGTGACTATTTTTCCAGCTCTTTACTTTGAATACTGAAGCAATGCAAGTAAGCCATTAATCTACATTTTCAGGAGAGATAAAACAGTTCATGTCCCAAATCAGGAAAATCTCTTACGGAGAGCCTCTAGTAAAATAGCTGATTAAAACAATAATCATCACATGATGCTAAAAATTACTAGGCAGGTGGGGTATGGTGGCGCAAATCTCCTAATCGGAATACTCTGGAGGCTGAGACAGGAGGATCTCTGTCAGTTCATGGTCAGCCTAAGCTACACAATGGGCTCAAGGCCAGTCTGAACTACACAATGAGACCGTCTCAAAAAACAAAGCAAAACAAAAATTACTAAGCAAAATGTAGTTAAAAGCAAGGTATTTGCTTGGTGACTCTATGGTCACATGCTAATCACACATTGGCAATCCACAGCACAATCACATTAACATCATTAGTAGTACAGCAATCTGATTTTAACTGCTGTATCTACCATATGATACAATACGAGGTACACAACACCACCCGTGAAGTATTCTTGCCAAAAAAAAGTTTTACTCTAGGCAAATCAAGCTTTTCTTTAGACCAAACTTCCAGCTAAGAGGAAATTCAGAGGTTAAAAGAAGGCGGCAAAAGAAACTAGGATAATGCGGACCAGTCCACAATATTCTGTAAGACAACCAGTTGTAAATTAGGTGTTAGAAAAATGCAGGGACAAACAGGTACTATCCTTTTACAAAGGGAACTAGACTGAAGGACCAAGTGGAATGTGCGACCCTTGACTGACTACACTTTTATAGCTGAGGAGACTGGAATAACGTTATTTTGATAAGGGAGTGTTCACACTGAGCGAGCAAGCAAGCAGGCAACAGTGTGCCAAAAATGTTAATCACTGAGTGTAGGTAGTGAGGCACTCAGAGCATTTTCTTCCAACTTCTGGAAGACCACAGTTTATCGTGACAAAGTTAAAAAGAACTTGCACCTCTACTGAGAAGTTCAGCAGAAAGTACACCTACACAAGAAACGTATCCAGATCCAAATCTCAACTCTCACTTACTTCTTCTGTAGCCTAATGCAAGTTACTTAATACTACCAAGTTTCTGTCTCATCTATAAAATTCAAATAATAACCTCATCATTAGGTTGTTCAGAGAAGCTTACACACGTGAAACACCTACCATGTTGCATAAAATGAGTAACTCTAGTTTCCATAATAGATCAATGTAGCTATCTGAAACACATTTTCACATTCCCTCATACTGAAAACTACACTAGACAAAATTAATATTGTGAATCCACTGGAAGTTAAAGTAAAATAATGGGCAAAACACTTATACATTTGTGTAAAGACTTATACATTTGTTTCAAATTTAAGAACTGCAACTGAAACGGTAGGCAAAAGGAAATCATCGAACTCTTGAGCTATCCAAACACTTTGATATTTATCATACAGTGCATAGTACTTTGCTTCTAGTATTAGCCTATGTCTGAATAAAACAGAAAAAATAAGTTAAGGAGAACTTTTTCCTAACCTCAACAGATGATCAACCTATAAATAAAAAAGAAATTATGTCTTCATTTCTATAGAAGGTGCTCCAGTGAAACCGATGGGCCTCACACTAAATTCCGGTTAGGGTTCAAACACAAGTCACATGCAGTTTCCTTTCATCAGTTCTAGCGTTCTTGTTGCACTTGCAAGTAATCCCTCTTTCAGGTTAGGCTGGCAATAAAATGACTACACGTAGTGTGATCCTTAGGTAGAAAAGAAAAAGAGCTATTTGCATTTCTTTTCTTTTTAAAACAAGTGCCATCTTTTCTTTTCCTGCTCTGGAGAGGTAGCAGCAGGGAGGAGACTGAGCAGGATCCGGCTCGCGGTCGGGCCAGGTGAGAGGGGGGCAGCGGCTCCGCCCGCGGCGGGCCAGGTGGGCGGACGGGCGCGCGAGCCGCGCTCACCCCCGAGGATCCCCGGACCGCGGCCGAGCCCAGGCTCCCCCGCCCTACACCGGACGGCCCCAAGGGGACCTGCGGGGAGCCTCTCGCGCGGGCGGGGTGACAGCCCAGCTACCCCCCGCCGCCCGGCCGTGTAGGTCCCCGGCGGCGCCCCGAGCCGCGCTGGCCGCAGCGCCGCTCGCCCCGCCGTGGCGTTCCCGTCCCCGTTACCTGCGGGCGCGGGCGCCGGGCCGGGAGGCCTGCTGCTGCTGCTGCTCCTCCTCCCCGCCAGGCTGAGGCGGCGGCGGCGGCCCGGGGGGAGGGGGCGGAGCGCGGCTGCTCCTCTCCTCCCCCGGGAGCGCGGGGACCCTATCTTGGGCCGCCGCGCCTAGGCCCGTGGGCAGCCCGCCGCTGGGGCATGGCGGGGAGCGCGGCGGCGGCCGGGAGAGCGGCCCCGGCGCCCGGAGGGGCCCGCGGGGAGGCGCGAGGGGGCGCGGGGAGCCGCGCAGCGGCCGTTGGGGGCCGTTGGCCGAGGGCGGGCGGGCGGCGGCTGGGGAGCGCGGCGACGGCTCGCGTTTTCCCGGCGGGGCGGGACAGGGGAGGGGAAGGGGGTTGAGGGGAGGGGAGGGGGGTCGGGAGGAAGGGAGCCGCCGCCGCGCGCGTGCCGGCCGGCGCCGCCGCCGTTGCCGCTCCGCTCACTCCAGCCTGTTCGGGGGGCACTTTGTTTGTGTCCCAGAATGCTCCGCGCGGACGGCCAGGCTGGGGCAAGGGAAGGGGAAGGGAGGTGGGCGGGGCGGGGCGGCTCGGGGGCGGGGCTCAGATGGGAGCGGGAAGGAGGTTTCTGCGCAGGCGCAGAGGAGGCCCTCGGTGTCCGGACCTGAACTGTGGCCCACGCCGCTGTGTCCTCAGACCGTGGCGCCCGTGTGACCCGGCGACGCCGTGGGCCCTGACGCTGCACGCGCATTTCTGCCTGTGGGTGCCGTCCTCAAGCGAGCGCGCCCTGCGCTCTGCCCGCCTGGCCTCCGTCTCCTGTCCTGCCGGCCAGCGCCACGCTAGCGGGGCCAGAAGCGTTAATCTGTATTTTTTTCTCTCAACTGAAAACGAAAGACGCGCCGATTGTTTCGCGGTGTTTTCTGCAGCGCCCCGACCTGCCTTCCCGGAGGAGGGAGACGAGTGGGCCTGCGTCCAGGACGGGGCCCGTGGGACGGTCGCCGCGCCACGAGGACCGCTCTGTGCCTGGCGGGAAGCGCGGCCCCGAGCCCACTCGGGCCCCTCCGCGGCCCCAGCACGAGGCGGCTGCAGAACGCGCGCCAATTCCCCAGCCGCGAGCCTGGCGTTCGTCACACGCGCCGTCACTTACTTCGCCGGCCTTCCCTCGGGCGCGCGCCGCTGCCCCTGAGTCGCAGCTCCCGCACCTGCCGAGTCCGCCGCGCGGCGTGCAAACTCCCACTGCCCGCAGGCCCAGCTACCCGGCCGGGCGGGCGCGCTCCTCCCGTGCGGTCGGGTCCCCAGGCCGGCCGCAGCCGCCCCAGGTGCCGGGAGGCGGGTCCCGCCGGCCGCCAGGACTGATGGCCTTGAGCGCTCTGCATTTGCATTCTTTGTTTCTCACACCTCCAGCTTTTAAACCGAGAGACTTCTTTCCAAAGGGCTTTGTGCAAGATGGGTTGGCGTCCCGCTGAAATAGTGGATTTATTTGTCTTCTGAAGCGTTTTGCAACGACTCACGTTAATCCTATTCCTGAGAGACAGCCAAAAACTGCCGACCACTTGAATTCTAACCAATAAAATTTACTTTAGAAATAAAGGCAATTAAAAATAGGTTCACTGTAGAGCCTTTGCAGTTTCCAACAAGGTTTCAGATATGCGTAGTTAGTCCTCGCGGCAACCTGGTCCATAAAGTTTTAGTGGTATTCCCATCATTTTTATCATTCCCATTTCAGAGATGGGCAAAAATCAGGAAGATGCAGATTTGCCCCATACATTTTTGCGGAGATTGGAACGAGGGAAAGGGAAAGAAAGCAGAGTGCTTACCTAGGAGACAAAGGTAGCCTCCAAGTAGGGCTCGATGGTGCTTGGGACTGGAAGCCCTGTGTGTGTGAAATTGTATGTAGAGGAAAAACAACCAGAGGAGTAGCTGGTGGGAATAAAGTAGTCAAATCAGTCTACTTCTCTTATGACGTGTAATAAGAATCAGTAAAAGGCTATTAAACTCTCCATTAATTGTGCTTCAAGGGACTCTGGTGGCCGCTACATTTCACACTGCTTTCTTTATATTTTTTGTCTCTTCTGTTCCTTCCCTTGGTCTTTCTCCTTCTGGCTCACATTTAAAACCTTTATCATACTTCATCTCACCTCTGCCTCAGATCTCAAGAATCTGTTGGCCAACAAATGGCCGTTGGGCCTTTAAGGGCAAAGTGCTAAAGGTCTGAAGAGGTGTGAGAAAGACACGAAGATTAACTATTGCGGGAGCCTTCTACCGTGTTTGGCTTTGGGTAGGGTCAGTTTCTGTGGCTTCGGAAACCTCCCACTTCTTTCTTCTGGGGCTAGCAGAGACTTGCCATGGGGTTGCTGGAATAGGTACACCTTTGACACTAGGTTAAATAATACAGCTGGGAGGATTTTGTGAAATCAGAATCCTGTACACAGGTGAAACAGACAGTATGAGGAACCTTTAATTATTAACCTGCCGTGGATGATTCTGAGGAATTCAAATTCTGCACCAATTTCAGGGATCTTATTTCAGCCATGAGCTGTTTGGCATAAAAAATTCTGTCCTAAATGACGTTTTCTGTGGTATACCATATTTGTAGACCCTTGTGGGCAATGACTTAGTCTAAAACGTGTTTGAAAGCAAGAATGCTTTGTACTCACCAGAAAGATCTCCAGTCTGACTTGAATTATCCCATTAATGCATGGGTCAACTTTGCTTCCTGAGTTGATCTGTCCAACTGTTAAAACAAAAATTAACCTTGCAGTAGAAAAGTAGTTTATTTAGTTAGCTAGGATCAGGGCTTGAGATAGAGGTGATGATCAGACATATTGATTAGAATTAAGACTAGACTGTGAACTGGGAGTTTGAATAGAGAACACCCTCTGGCAACAGGGAATACAATCCCCTCTCTACTGGAGGGAATTGTAGTCCCTCCCTACTACATTCCTGAATTTCCAGAAATTTAAAATGCAAAATAACCAGTTTTTCTTTAAAATCCCAGTTTCCTTTAAATCTCTGTGTTGAGTAACTGTAAGGTTAGAGTCTGAATTCCAGGAGGTAAGTTCACAGAACCACCTGTGAGAGGAGGCCACTGAACAGCTGAGCAAGCCTGGTACTCCACTTTCCACAAAAAACGCACCAAGGGGCCGTGTGTCACTCCCACTTTTCGGATTCCCCTGCTCTTTTTATGTAGTCTTTTTATCGGTACCAGGGATCGAACTCACGACTGCCTGCTTGCAAGGCAGGCGCTTATGCCACTGAGCTAAATCCCCAGCCTTTTATGTAGTTTTCAATAAAAACTCTACAAACCCTTTCATGTTGGTTTGTGACTTTATTGCCCGTGTGTGAGAGCGCCCAGAATTAACTGTTGCAACGCTCTCACCCTACAGTCTGCGTCTCTTCTAGTGTTCCCATTTCACTCACCCCAGTTAGGAAGTTTGCTTTGCGACTTTACTACCCTACAGCATCCCAGTTTGAATCAATCAACAAGTCCTATGAGCGTGCCCATATCCACTGCAGCCATCCTAAAGTAAGATGCCAATAGTTTGCACCTAGAGAGTTGTAAGACTTAGCGGGAGTCTCAAATAGACTGTGTCTTCTCTCTTTATTGTCTGCATGCTAGAGAGAGTTGTAATGCATGGCAACCTTGTTACCCAACAATGGCTTCCTGTTGTTATCAGGATAAAGTCCCCAACCCTTAGTGTGTCTTTTATAACGCTCCATGGTCTGTGCCCTTCAATATCATCAGCTTCATCTCTCACTATAATACAGGGATGACATATGTGGTTCAGATAGCCAGGAATATAGTGCACAGTGCACAGTGCACAGCGCTTGCTTAATTTCAAAACAAAATAATAGGGAATTCTAGGTACCAACAAAGACCTCCAAATAACCCAAAGAATGTAAGGAAAATATAACTCTCAACCTACTAGATGCCTGATACACCGCGTTTGTGTTCTCTAAAATCAAAGAATGAATTCTAGGAACTATGGCAGTTAAGAGTAGGAAGTATTTACTGAAGGAAAGACAGCTTCTAAGAGAGACAGAAAGGAGTCTTCAGTAGGTGGTCCTGGGTACACCTCCTCCCTTCTCAAGGAAATTTTATAGGGCAAAGCCATGAGGTGAGGCAGATACAAGGTGGGAGAAAACTACAGTCAACTAATAAGATTATACATATAATTGCTTGGATAACACTGAACCAATGGGAAATCACAAGGTGGGATAAAACTATGATCAATAAGGTTATGAGTATAACCCCTTAGGTAATGTTGATTAAATGGGGATCAAATAAGGAAGCAAGTGGAGAAAAAAGTGTAATTGGATTGAACAAGCCTTTTCCCGGAAGGGAGGTTTCCTGGTTTTGGTCCTTCCTACCCCTCAGGTGACTGATGCCTATTTAGAATATTTGACGCTGCTGGAAGTATGAGGGTATCATCATTTCTCTGTCCTGAGGCCTGATTTTCCAGAGGTATTTCTTTAGCCATAGTTGAAGAAGCAAATACAGTTGGAAAAGGACTGACCTTTTTCGAAGGACTGGCCTGTCTGTCTACCTATAATATTTCTAAATAGCTTAGCTGTCCTTCAAGGAACATGCAGATCAAAAAGGTTTTTTTTACTTCTAAAATGCCATGCTTTTAAAAAAAAATTTTTATTTTAACGAGAATAAAACCAAGCAAAATAAAACAGAATAAAGCCAATCAAAACTAGACAATGTAAGTGACACAAGATTTCAAAACAAGATAATAGGAAATCAACAATACTTAGCATAATGCCTCTTGTCTTCAAAATAGCTGCCTACTATTTTTGAGACATAGTAAAAGCAAACAAAACATAAACAGAATAGAACCAATAAAAACAAAATAATACAATACAGGACTTCAAAACAAGATAATAGTAAATTCCAAATGGCTACCATATTTTGTTATCTTTGAAATAGCTGCCCATGTCATCAGATACAGCAAAATCAAACAAGATAAAACAGAATAAAATCCAACCAAACAAAACAATGACAATTATACAGGATTTCAAAACAAAATAATAGGGAATTAACAATGGCCACCACCTTCAGAAGGAGATCCCCCATATATGCTACACTGAGTATTGTTATCCTCTGAATAGAGGATCAAACTGCTGATTTTAGGCCTGAAAAACCAGTGAAACAACAAACACCACAAACATTAAGTTGTATTTTATCTCATTAGCTTTCATCACAGCCTGTGTTTCTCTGGATCAGTTGGTCACTTTGGGGTCAGGGAGGGATGTTGGCTCGTCTTGTCTCTCTGCCTGGGTGCCAAAAAGGGCTGGCATCTGGTTTTCCCTAAGTCAGATTGTGCCAAATGTCATGCTTTTTCTGCATTGAAAATATTGTTCCTTCAGTGAAGAAATACTTCATCCCTTGGCTAATTCCTTACTCCATCTTTGGATCTCTTCTTTTATATATACAATATACTTAGGATATATAATGTATACACAGTATATGCATATGTATATACTGAGATATATATATACATATATATATCATATACATACACATACATATATATGTGTATACTGAGGTTTTACCTGAGATGTAATTCACATGCTATACAATTCACTCATTTGAGATGTACAATTCAGGGGGCTGGGGCATAAACGCCTGCCTTGCAAGCAGGCAGTCCTGAGTTCGGTCCCCGGTACCAATAAAAAGGAAAAAGACACACACACACACAAAAAAAGATGTAAAATTCAATAGTTTTTCATATATTCAGAGTTGTGTAATCAACTCAATGAACTTTTTGAAATTTTTATCAACTAAAAGGAAACTCACACCTTAGCAGTTGCTATTTCTCCAGCTCTTCAGTCCTAGCGACCATTAACTGATTTGCTTTCTTTCTATACTGATTTGCCATATATTATTTTTGTTTGTCTGTTTGTTTATTGAAGAACTGTACTATGCTTGGTTGATGTGACTTTTAAGTCCTCCATATTTTTCTCTCCTTTTCCAATAAAAATTTTAAGAGACTAGGTTTTTGGTCTGTGGTGTTTACCGCATTCTAGATGTTGTAAGTTGGGTCCTTTTGTCCTCTGAATTTTCTGTAAATAGGTAGTGAAATGTTCTTGCCCTACTATAAATTATGGTGGTGGTCTAACATGGTGGAAGATCAAAGTGGAAATGTTACCACTTGTTCCTCCTTCTTCAGCCTAATTGCAACTCCCTTTCCTGTTTGCATGCAAAGAAAATTCCAATCAGTTCCTCACATTTCATCAATGTCTGCCCCACGTGCCACGTCAGAGGTCACATAACCCTCTGCCTCTCTGTATCCAGTTGAAGGAGATAGCCCAACCACCATGGGTTGTGTGCTCCTCTCCACATCCTCAGTAAATGTGTTCTTCTCTTTTTTTATTTTTTGCTTCTCTATTGTGCTAGAAAACTCTAACAGTTTGGTGCCATGACTTGGACTGGCAGAGTGTATTAGCTCCTAGAAGTCACCTCTGTTTCTGAGCTTGCTCTGTCTGTGAGCCACTTTTCCTTCCTCTGGGATCTACTTGCTTGCCACTGCTAGCCTACATCCAACACTGATCCACCTCATCCCACTTCATTCATCATAGGTGAGCTTCCGTCCGAGGTTTTCTGTTTCAGTTTCTCAGTGGCTAACAGCTTTCACGTTCCTTGCATAACTGAGGCAAAACTATTTTTCGCCTTAAAAATTCACAAGCTTGTGTCAGAAAGCCTATCCTTTGCCAGCCCTGGACAAGGGATAGCAGTTTTCTTTCCTGTTCGTTGTGCAGGACAGCCCGAGGCAAAACTGTTACCCACTTGTTCTCTGGGCCCCCACCCCACACTCTCGGTGACAGCCAATGAGAATAGTGTTGGGACCTTTCTTGTTACACTTTCAAAACAGATGATGAGTTGATAAGTGTGAGCCAGGACAGCTTTTACGTCCTTATGGGGAGAGGTAAAGCTCTTACATCCTGAGGCATTCTTGGCTCACTTCTAATTCGGTCACTATGGGGGATACCATTTCCTGTCCCCTGAAAAACACACCTCTGGGGTGCCTGGTTCATAACCTTGGTGCTCTTGGCCTCAAGAAGGCTATAAAAACCAAAAAGTTGATCTTTTATTTATACTTGTGTCACAAAGGTGGCAAGTTGGCAGAAACTCCTTATATACAGGCCTTTATCACTTTGAGAACATGTTCTTTTCTCATTCAGTCATGTGTGGCGGCCCAAATATTTCTGGCTCACTCTACTGTACCAGGGTCTGTCCCTTCCTCCCCAGCGGACCCCTTAGATGATGTGCCTCCTGTCTTTATTCCCTCTCCTCCATGTTCCCAAGTCCAACCCCGTGGCCTTCTCAGCCAGAGGTTTTTTTCACCCTTCTGCATCATCCTCTCCCCTTTCCTCACCCAGGGGCCTTTAACCCTTCCCTTCCTTCCTCTCTCTAATCTGAGATTTCTCGATCCTCTTTACCTGAGCCATCTATTCCATCGGACAGCTCTTCTTTCTCCTATGCTCCTGTGTCACCGTTCTCCCTACCAACTCACCACACTCGGTCTCAAATGTTTCAGCCACCTAGCAGGCCACATGGTATTTGATCACCATCTTGCAATCCCATACCACATTGTCCTCAGCAGCAATCTTGCTGCAACTCATAGGAGGACAGCCACCATCTTGTGGTTCTCCACTATGTGACAGTGTGCCAACAATTTGTGACAGGTCACAGGGTAAATGGCTGCCATCTTGTCATTCCCCCATCATGAGATCAGCAGCAGCCATCTTGTTGTGAGTCTCATGGTAAACAGTTGCCATCTTGTGCTTCTGTGTCACATGGTGATGAGTGACCATTTTATGGTTGATTACCCTGTAATTGCCCACAGACACCTGCTGGGCATTTGGCTGGTCAGTGGCCATCTACATCTCCCACTCTTCAGCCTTGTCAGCCTCAGTCCTTTGGGAACAGGCTGGTCCTGAGGGACTAGTTCATATTCATGTTCATTTTTCCCTCACTGACCTGTCTCATAAACCATAAATTAGGTTCCTTTTCTGCTATTCTTATTTCAAGAGAACTGTTAATTGACTTACAAAAAAGTCTACACTTCTCTATTTACTATAGTTTAACTTGGCCAAATATATTTGAGTGTACTCTGATTTTATAAGATGTTTGTCAGTCTGTATATCTGTTGTCTGTTTGTCCAGTCTGTTTGTACTATACAGGTCATCTGTCCATGTTTGTCCATTTGTAAACAGCTGTAAACAGCTGTTCCTTTTTATTTGAGCTCAACAATATTTTCTCTTTTTCTTTTGCATTTTCAGATCATTTAATCAAGCTTTATTTGAGTTATAGATTTAAAAATCATGGTATCACCTGAGCTAAAATTTAAACAAAGTCCTTGGGGTGAGGAGAGATTGGACAAGGCTTCAATTTTTCTTTCTTGCTTTTTTTTTCCTTTTTGTGACAGGGTCTCACCATGTGGTTCAGGCTGGCCTTGGGCTCACTTTGTAGCCCAGGCTGGTTTCAAACTTGCAGTGATCCTCCTAGCTCAGCCTCCTGAGTGCTGGCATTACAGGAGTGCAACACTATGCCCCGCAAGGCTTCAATTAATGGATAAGAAAGTGGCCGCCTGGTAACTTTAACCAGTTGTTATTCATTAATTGGAGGCCCCAATAATCTCTATAGTTTTATAGGAGACACCCCAATTAAAGTTATAAAAAAATATTATGCCATAAGCACCTCCCTTGCAAGTGCATGGTTGTGAGTTCAATCTCTGGTACCAATTAAAATATATATATATATTATATATATATATATAATATATATGCTTTATATGCTAATATAAAGGCTTCACAGGGCTAAAACAATACATTATTGTCAATCTTGTGGTACATTTATGCCTTCAAATATAAAATTGGGATTGTTTATGATGATAATCTTCTTTCAGATCCAGACATCTACCTTTTTCCTGTGCGCCAGCCAAGAGATTCAAGCCAAACCAATATGAATTCACCAGTCAAATGATAATTTTTCAACAATAATGTATGTAATGTCCATCAACAAAAGAATCTAAGAGCCAATGGGTTACAATTGCTAAAATTTGGAAACAGTTTCTAAACTTAACTGTCAGCCCTACTGTACATGCCTTTGTGTATATACTTTGATTATACATGCTTTGGTTAAAGTTTGTTTTTGCTTAGGAGATGCCAAACCCCAAGGCATCATATAGATAAAAACAATAACAAATATACAAAATTCCTTTTAGATTCCTTTAATGGGATCCACCAGATCTTTTCCAGAAAAAGGTTATATGACACACATTGGGGCCATAATTAACTGTGCTCAACTGGCCTTAAATGACACCACAGGTGATCTCTCTCCTAAATAAAAAAGTAAAATTAATGAAACAGGCCATCCTCCAAAATCAGATGGCATTAGACATTCTAACAGCACAGGAGGTACTCACACAATTGTAAAATCTAACTGTGTGTATGACAAATGAATGACATGTCAGTTTCTAAAATTCCCTGGACCTTATCCATATCCTCCTTTTGGGAAGCCACTGCTGGAAACTATACTCATAATTATCCTGTTGATTTTATCATTTGGCCCATGCATACTTAATTGATTCTTTGTCTTTGTCTCCTCTAGACTTAAAGCTGTATTCCTATCCAAGATGAAATGCCTGCTATCTACTGAGGGCCACTAGTTAAAAGCTCTGCAGAGTATCCCTGACTACCATTCAATAACTTTGACACCCTTCAACCTGAAGAAGCCAGATCGGTCATTGCCCATTACCTCTCATGGCAGTTTGGGTTACTCCTTCAGAGGGAGAAATGTTACAGGCAGGTAAGTTAAAAATGTTACAGGCAGGTAAGTTAAAAATGTTACAGGCAGGTCAGTCAAAAATATTACAGGCAGTCAGACAGGGCTAGGGCCTCAGAGGAGCCAGCACAGAGGACCACATGTCTTGTGACTTGGAGGAGACAGATACTTACCACTGTGGGCCAGATCCCAAGCAAAAGTCTAAACTTGGCCCTCAAACCCCACAGGGAGACCTTAATATGGCTTTTCATGTTTTAAACAACAGAGATAAAACTCAAAAGGAGGAAAATAACAAAATGATCTTTTAGTAGTGGTACTTCAGGCTCTAAGACAGGTAAAGCCAAGGTAGAGCCACCCGAACCCCTCCTGGACCATGCTTCAAGTGCGACAAAGAAGGATACTGAACAAGAGAGTGCCCCAACCCCGGCGTTCCTCTGGGGCCTTGCCCCTATTGCAATCTCAAGGGCCATTGGAAGAGCAACTGTCCTAGCTGCCAGAGAGCGGGTAAGCCATCCTCTAACTCCTTGCCCTCACAAGATATCTCACCACCACTGGATTCATTGCTGACTGATCTACTTGGACTTGCTGCTGAAGATTTATAGGGCTCAGCACAGCCCCCATTAAGGTGTCCTTCTCAGAGCCCCAAGTCTCACTGGAGGTCTCAGGTAAGACACTCTCTACTTGTAGACATGGAGGCCACACATAGTGTTCTTCCTGAGTTTTCAGGCTGTTATATTAAATCCTCAGTCTCTGAAATGGGTATTGACTGTCAACCTACACAGCCTTTTCAAACAGGGCCTATTTCATGCAGGTTCCAAACTGTCTTCTTCACCCATAGCTTTTGGGCAGTGCCAACATGTCCCACATCCCTTTTAGGTAAAGGTCTCCTCCAATAGCTTACTTCATAGATAAGGTTACACACAAAACACTCTGGGATGGATTTTCCAGGAATCAAAACTTGTTCTTCCAAATCAGCAGGCCTTAGACATCATCACTGACTTACACAACTGTTTCCACGTTGGATCATAGGCCCAGTATAGACTCTTAGCCCCAGTAGTTACACATCCTTTTCCGAGGGCTATCATTCTTCAGATTACTCACACCTGTCATCTCTGTGTTAGGACCTCTCCTCAGGGACACATAGCACCCCTCCTTTCCTACTTGTGAATTTTGTGGATACACCCTGGTCAGGACTGACAGGTAGAATTTATACACATGCCCCACCACAAAACTCTCAAATATCTTTTTATCTTTATCTATACTTTTTCAGGATGGATAGAAGCTTTTCCTACAACCAGGGAGACTGCTGATGTAGTTACTAAAGTCCTGTTACAAGAAATCATTCCAGGATTTGATCTACCTTAAAGTATCCAGTCAGATAATGGTTCAGTCTTTATTTCTCAAATCACTCAGCAGGACTGCAACCAAAGTGGAGTCGCCCCTTCCTGGTCTTCTTCGGAACCTCAAGGGTAGTCAAGGTTGCTGGATTGTCTTCCTCATTCCACATCACTCAAGCTAAGTGGTGCTCTCCTAACCCCAACTCCTCATATGATATGTCATCATATCTCCTATCTCCCGCCCATCTCCATCTCTCCAAGGGCCCACAACCACAACTTTCAGGTTAGCTCATGTTTTGTCATCCTATTTGGTTCTGGATCCCTTGCACTCTAAACAAGAGGTCCCGCTGGGTCTAGGACCTCCTCTCAATTATAGTGACACTATCGCAGTCCTCCCCACCCCTACTCTATATTTTCCCAAACATGATTCAGCTGCCAGGCCTTATATTTCTCACGCTTCCCATTCTACCCAGCTCAACCCCTAGGCCAAGAACAAGTCCTTTTACCCTTTCAGATGGGGAAACAATTGCCTCCTGTAACTTCACCCCTCCCAATTCCAAGCTTATTTTTCAGATTCTTCCTTACCATGATCCTGATGGAACAGCACATTCAGATCAAGGGCACCTTTCCTTCTCCTGAGTCCTTCAATTATGATACTGACATGATTTCTTATTGTACCTTTTCTTTGTATTTCTACAATCTAGGATGTGAGCATTCACCAACAAGAAACTCCTTGTCCTGGCTGAAACACCAGTACCAGCTTCTATATGGGCATCAATCGTCATCCCATCAACCCTCCTAAGCCCCAACATGATGCTCCTGTCCAGCAAGAAGTAGTAAGAGAGAGTCTTTGCCCTTTTCCTAACCATACAAAGATGGGAATGAAAGGTTCTTGCCCTACTATAAATTGCTGTACAATTAGGGCGGTGGTCTAACATGGTGGAAAGCCAAAAGTGGAAATGCTCACCACTTCCTCCTTCTTCAGCCTAATTGTAACTCTCCTTCCTGTTTGCATGCAAAGAAAATTCCATCAGTTCCTCACACATCATCAATGTCCACCCCACGCACCACTTCCAATCAAAGGTCACATAATTCTCTGCCTCTCTGAATCCAGTTGAAGGAGGCAGCCCAGCCGCCAGGGGTTGTGTGCTCCTTTCCGCGTCCTCAGTAAATGTGTTCTTTTCTTTTTTTACTTTTTGCTCCTCTATTGCGCCAGAAAACTCTAACAGGTAGTTGGATTCAGATGCTTTATCATATTCAACTTTAGTGTTTTACAAGATTACTTCACAGATGTTAGTTTACTTATGTATTAGGAGATACACAATGTATCTCTCTCGTCCTCTCTCTTTGTTTCATGGTACAGGGAATTGAATCCAGGACCTTTGCACTTTCCCAGCCTTAAATTTTTTTTTTTTTAATTTTGAGACTGGATTTCAACTGAATTTTCCAAGTTCAGACTGAATTTGTAATACTCCTACCTCTGCCTCCTAGAGTGCTGGGATTACAGCCGCCCCCAGCTATGTCTCTCCTTTTCTTATTGTGATGTTAGTAGCATGCATCCATTTGTACCCATTCATTCATTAGGAATATTTACATGGTCATACAATTCTATCATTCTTTATTGGTTATCTGTCGGTGTCGCTCCCGGCTGGCAGGAAAAACACACGACAAAGTCTGGCGGTGTGCAACCTTGTCTTTATTTGTCTCCGCGTGGGCCGCGCGAGGCCTCCGCTCTGCCACCAGTCCTTTCTTACCGGTGGACTTCCTCTATCTCTTTTTGTGCTTCTCTCTCGTAGCGGGAGAGGCACTCACTTTTATAGGGTAACAGTGGCCAATCAGTTCAAAGCGCGCGATGCGGGCTGACTGGCTAACATCAGTTGTTGCTAGGCAGACTATCTTACAGAGCGGGTTGTTTAAGTCGCCAGGGCAATCAGGGGGCAGGAAGCAGGCGCCAACTTGGCTCACTCGATGGGAGGGGTAATCTAGCTCAGGCTTTGCCTTTTCCTACAGGCCGCATGACCGCTGCGCATAGTGAACTAGCGCTGTTGCGGCTCCCAACAGTTATCTATGTTTCCACAAAGGGAAATTGACTAAACTAATGGATTAGTATACATAGGAAAGTGAGACAAATACTTCTTTCCCTATCATCAAGAATCTTTTCACACTATCTAAGTCCCTCATTTCTAACTATGGCCATGCTGAGCCACAGTGCATCACTTGACCTTCAAGATCTGACCACTCTGGGTTCTACTCACTTGACTGTCCTGGGTTTTGCATGGTCTGCGATCCCTTGCTCGCTCTCCAGTCTCATTTCAGGCCACTGTATTTCTTCCTGTCCCAGCCATAGTGCCCCTTCCTCATTTCCTAAACCACGAAGGTCTCTTTTTTTTGCCCTGAAATCTTTTTCGTGTTTTCCCTTCTTTCCTAACTCATACTTATTTTGCAATCATTGCTTTCTTGAAAAAGCTACATCGGTGTTCTAATTATAACCTCTCATCAACCTTCTGTTGTAACACATAGCAATGCCTATGGTTTGGGTTTATCCTTATGTATATGATCGTTCATTTAATGTGTGCCTTCTCACTAGACTACACGTTCTGTGAAGGCAAAGACCTTCATGGAAAGAAAATGGTGTGAAGATATTTTTTTCTTCTAAGCATAATCCTTGGAAATAGAGTGTGTGATTTGAAAAGTATTTTTTCTTTCTCTTCTTTTTTTGGTCCTTTTGAGACAGGGTCTCCCTATGCAGTTCAGGCTGGCCTTGAGGTCAGTTTGTAGCCCACGCTGGTCTCAAACTTACAATGATCCTCCTGCCTCAGCCTGCTGAGTGTTGGGATTATAGGAGTGCACCTGGCTTGAAAAGAAATGTCGAATAACACTGTACTGATGTCAGATTGGGGAGAAAATTCATAAAGAGTAACGTGTCAATTCATAAAAAATAATGAGTGCTAACATTTATTCAGTGCAAGATATCATTCTTTGTTCCTCTAATATTCATTATAGCCATATTAGAGTAAATATTATAGTTATCTCTATTTGACAAATAAAGAAACTTAAGAGAGATCAAGATATTTGCCTGAGATCACTTAATAGTAAATGTCAAAACCAGTGTTCATACCTGAGTAATTTGGCTTCAGAATCTCAGATATCAGGTTAAAATCCTAATGTATTACACTTTATAGGAATAAAATCATACAAATATACACACTGATGAGGAACTGACCTCAATCCTTTAGGTCCTAAATTTAAAAAATCACAACATTGTTGGGTAGCTCCTTCTAAAAGTAACCTGGGTTTTGAACTCCTCACCTCTCGTTCTGGAGGTGGATTACAGATTCTTCTCATCTGAAACAAAGAATTGAATAAAACAAGCAAAAAGCAATGGCAACATTTATTTGAAAAAGTAAAGGTGAAGGGTGAGAGAGAAACTGGCTCTGAAGAGTGAGCTTGAGCCAAGTGAGAGGAGAAAGCAAGACATCTGAAGTTGCAGGGTTGGCTCCTGGGAGGAAGGCCACGACAGCAAGCTCTCTGGGGGCTCTGTGTCCTTCTGTACAGTCCAGATCTTGAGGAAACCCTTGAGGACTTCTACCTGTGGGTCCTGAAAGGCAGTGCTGGGATCCCATTCCTCAGGCTGCTGTCATGTCGAGGCCACGCTGTTGAAAACTTGCTCGATTAAAAAAAAAAAGAAAGAAAGAAAAGAAAAGAAAAAAACAAAAGCAAAAGAAAATCCACTCATGTTCTCATGAGAAGTCCAAATCTAGGGCTTTTGGACACCGTCTTGGGCATGTTTTCTGGAATCCTGCAATTAACAGATCCTGCCTGTCCAGTCAGCATCACCTCGCCCCAACTCCTATCTCACCAAGAGAAAGAGATATTATAAGAATTCTAGCTATTGGGGACCTGAGGCACATGGATCACCTCTCGTTTGAGATCAACCTTGGCTACATAGTGAGTTCAAGCCCAGCCTGGACCACATGGCAAGACCTTGTCCAAACGAACAAACAAGCAAGCACCCACACAGTGTCTATGCCAGAATGAGGATGCTAAGGAGTAGTTTCTTTTTTTTTTTTTTTTTTTTGTTTTTTGTTTTTTGTTTTTTTTTTTTTATTTAAAGAAAAGGAAACGAAAAAAGAAAAGAAAAAAAATACATGGAGATTAAAGAATAAAAGGGTAGAAAAATAATACTAAATTACAGACAAACAAAAGGTAAGAAATTGCCAGTTGATAAGTTACAAATTGTCTTCTTCGAAATGGCTGTTTAGGTTATAGAATTAAAGTATTTAGAATGACATTCAAAAAAGTGACCCTACAAACCATTCTGCTCTATGGCCGAACAAAAGCTCCGTAATATGATTATCAGTCCCACCTATTTGTTTTACATCTCTAAGAGGATAAGGTTAACCATATCAAAACAGAACAGAACATTTAAAAAAAAAAAAAAACAATTTAAAGAAATACAGATTTCAAAGCAAGTCCACTGGAGATCTACCTTATCTAACTGTCTCTAGCTTCTTACAGATAGTTGTCCCTAACTTCACCCACTTTCTATACTTATTGCATATTATAGAACTAATCAAATCATTACAGGATGATGGAGTCTTTTTAGGTCCTCAAGTTCCAAATTAGGGAAGACATTTCCAACTACCATCGCATCTCTCATTCTCTTTGTGATAGCCGTCCCCATCTCTGCATATGCTGAAGTTGAGCTGAAGAAACCAGTCCAGAGTCATTTTAATCAGCAAGCAATAGATTGCTAGAATTTATATTATAATGCTACAAAATAAGCCTCGGGTTTTTTAGGTCTCTTCCTCAGAGTATTTGTTCCTATCTTCTCTGTATTATAGGGAAAACCAATTCATAACAAGACAGCGAAACAATTTCCTAGATAAACATGCAATGGATAAGACTTACAAAACTATAATATAAATGATCTTCCGTAGCTACTATGTTTTCTCTTGTTATTTTCAATAGATTTGTCGACAACACTGGCTTATTATAGTTAAATATACTATCACCTATTTTTATAAAAACTTATCTTTGACTGCATTGTAGTATTTGAGAGCTGTTACTGATTCATACCAGTATGGATATCCTTTACATCCTGTCATGCTCAGAGTAGTTTCCTCTACTTTTAGGGTTGATTCTAACACGCATACGGATTTCAAATAGGATCAGTCAAGGCCAACCAATAGTCTTATGATTCAGATACAATTAAGATCAGTCATAGTAAGACAATGTAAGTAATACAGGATTTCAGCTTAAGTCAATAGGAAAGTAAGGATGGTTACCATGGTATAACCTGCTATTTTTGGTTCTAGAGGTCTGTGTCCTCAAATCTGATATGAGTGGACAGACCAGAACAAATTTAATTCAATCTAAATATGGCACTAGGACTACTGTGTCTTTTAAATCGTTATACACCATTAGCAATGACCTCTGCTTTTTTTTTTTTTTAAATATAGTTTCAGAGCTGTCTCTACCAAAGACTAGCTTACCGTCTCTGCCTCATGTCTGCTACTTAAGGAGTAGTTTCTACAAAGAGGCACACATCAAGCAGGTAATCTCATAGTGCAGCACAAGATTTTAATTTTAATTTTTTCTTGAGGTGGGGTCTTGCTGTTTTGCCTACGCTGGGCCGAGTGAGCTTTTTGCCTTGTCCCGCTCGGAAGCTGGGACTAGGGACTGTGGGATAGATGTGTGCCATCATGGCAACATGCATATTTATTTTCATGCATCAGGAAATAATTTCATAAATCTCCTAGTCCAACACAGTGCAGTTTCTCTACACTGAGCAACAGATAGCTTGCTTCCTCAATGAGAGATAATGAAAAGCATGACCAGCTACTCTATTTATCTCTAGTTTCTGGAATCCCTGTTGATCAGATCCAGGGATCGTTACACATAATTTTGCAACCTGTGTGCTAAATGACAAATTTAATGAGCCTCTGTTATGGTTTGATAACTAGTGGTCAACTTAACGCCAGCTGGATTACATCAGCATGCATTGAGAGAAGATGCTCCACCTGAGGAGGGTTGCCAGGATAAATAGGTGGAGAAGAAGAGAGGTGTTGAGAGGGATTGAGGCGTTATGGAGGCATTGTTGGTTCTCCTACGAGTTGCTGTCTGAGCTGTTGGTTCTGCTAGAGAAGCTTTGGTCTTCACATTGAGCATTGCTTCCTGGCTCCGGAGGGGAAGACATGTGCTACCTGATCTCCAGGATGAACTCGTCACACTGCTTCCTGGCACGTACCCGACTGTGCTTGTTGTCGGAGGAGCTCGGGGCCTCTGTGTCGCTGAGGACAGCTGTGGTGCCTTTCAGGACACCCCCGCTCTTTGTTGTGCGTGTGACTTCTCGGCTCCAGTGTAGAACCCTCATCCCACTAGCACAGCTCCTTCATCCTGCTGGCATAGACTTTCTGGCTTTCACCGCTGACCCTTGGGTCTTCCCAGCATGAATCCATAAAAGATACTGGTGTGAGTCCTTCTTGTGGGCTCTGGACTTCCAGTTGGACTTGTGGAGGCATTGTCCTGAGCTCTGGGTTTTTATCTGGACTCATGTGGGACATTGCCATGCGGTTTAGACTCTTGACTAATTAATCTATGTCATTGGTGTTGCGGATAGATTTCCTGCATTCTCCTGTGTTAACTTCTGGTGACCATTATAAAAATATTATAAACTCCATGTCCTGATCTGAATTGTTCTCTGTGTACAACCCCTGATTACAACAGCCTCCAAACAGAATCACATCGTTTGCACAGGCTTAACTCCAAGACACTTAGGAAAAGCCATCCCAGAGGCCAGAGAAAAGAAAGACTCATCCTCCAAGGGAAATGCTTCAATCACAGTTCATTAAAAAGTAAAACACACAGTGAGAAGAGATGACGTAAGGTAATTAACATACTTTTGATAAATTATCAGCAGAGTGGGAGGATCATACTTTATGAATATGGATCATGCGATGTTCATATTCCTGTTTCTTCCCACTCTGTATCCGCATTTCTTTCTGCCGCTGTGGCTGTGAGAATCAGACTAGATGTCTGAACAAAGGGGTCCATGAGAGTGAGGGTATATGGAACCCATACAGAGTTGTATATTGGAAAAATGTGGGGACAAGTGTGCTGGCCTGGCCAGCAGCTGTATCTCAGCCATTAGCCTGATGGATAGCTCTGGGATTCATTTGCATTTCTTGGATACCAGACAAATAGAGTTGGAATTGTGTCAACATCGAGCGGTTGACGTAACACCGTATAAATAGTGGGATGCTTCATGTATCTCATATATATTTAGTGAACCATGAATATTTGCTATGCCTCAGTCCTTTCTTCTCTATCTAGGTCAGAGCATGCATGCTCTACTTACATTTTTGTATTCCTATCCTGCCCATATGCTATTTGCTTCTATAATCAGTTTCATTTAGCCTCCTTTTTAAAAAATCTTATATTATTGGTAAAATTAAAAATTCTTACATTATACTTCAAATACATGCTACAGATAATCTTATGTAGACAAAATTATCATCTCTTCTGTCTCTGTACTGAGGATTATATTGATCAGACTGACTTATGTCCTCAGATCCTTTGAAACAATTTTGTTTTTGAGTTGATTCATAGATGCTTTTGTTTGCAAAAAGAAATGTTTAGCAGAATTTTGTTTCTGTTTGCAAACATCAGGGGATGACCGTGACCAAAACCATCTTTCCTGCACAGACATGAATGTAGCTATCTTTTTTGGAATTGTACGATGAATTAAATTCATGTATTTGGGCACTTTTGTATATGTATATATCTAAAAATAAGATGTGCTATGAGCATAAGTTTAAAGTTAAATTTATAGAGTTAAGACTATGTAAGTTTAATACATATGAGGAAAATAATAGGTAATCCCTTTTATACAATGTATGTTTAGCCCTTAAGCATATAAAATGATCAAAATGATCTCTTTAAAGTTGATAAACTTGATCTACATGTGTTAAAGAAATATTTTTATAATTATCTTTTATACACACATGTTCTATGTTGTTTTAAAGAAGCATTTTGAAATTGTATAAATATGATACATTTATATACTGCAGAGTAAGTCTGTCTGTAATCATTAACACTGTTTCCACACTTACTAGTGCTGTAAAAATACCCTTAATCCTTGTTAATATAGTTAGTTACATCTTATAAAAGTTGTTAAAGCAGTCTAAAATTTGTCTTAAGAGTAGAAACTAACATAGAACAATATGAAGAAAAAAAGAGTAGAAACTAAACATGGGTGAAGAGTTCTATGTAGCTTACACCAATTATTACTAAGTACATGGTATATTTGTGTTTCCCAAGTGTACACACCTCCAAAGAAGCGAACTAAAAACATTTACTTCCAGCTAAAGTTGTTTATGTTGGTAAACTTTTTTAGGCTCAAGCATCTGATTTTCTCTTACCTGTATGTATCATTTAATATCTTGTAATTAGTGAAAGAAACTGACTGATAAGCAGTCCTATACTAAATGAACACTTGAATGTGAACCAAAGATAAGAAAAACCTAATAGTTTTAATATAATAATTGTCATAATGGTCATTATGCTAAAACATTATATTTCTCTTGATCTCAAATTTTCTCTGTTAAATTTTGTAATTGTTATCTGTTACAGTGATTCAAGTTCAGAAACAACAGTGATTAATAAAATCTACTCCTCAGGCAATCCCCTCATTTAAAAGACAATGAAATTTGCAAGTGGATGTGACTCATTATGAATCTTTCAGCAAACTTACATTTATGTCTCTGTTGATACTCACTATCCAGGACTTAGTGTCTCTAAATCCCACACCAAAGCAAATTCCCTTTAATCTGTCTGCCTGAGCCCAGAAGGTCAAAGGATGACCATGCAGCCCTTGTTCTTGGTCACTCTCTGGGGCAAAGATTTACTATTTAAAACTCAATTATTAACAACTCCAAACACACTCAGCCACCTTATCTTTGACAAAGAGGCCAAACACTCTCACTGGAAGAAAGATAGCCTGTTTAATAAATGGTACTGGAAAAATTGGCTTTCCACATTCCAAAGATTAAAACTAGATTCATGTCTCTTACCATGCACTAAACTAAAATAAAAATGGATCCAAGATCTAAATATCATGCCAGGGACATAGGTCAGTGACACAGTGCCTCCCTGGTAAGCACGAGATCTTGAGTTCAATTCCTAGTACAAAAAAAAAAAAAATCTAAATATTAAAACAGAGACAGTAAATCTGCTGGAAGAGAGAATAGGTGGAACTTTTTAAGAAGTCTGTTGTAAGCAGACTTTATGACCAAAACCTCTGGGCGTTATGATACAAATTTGTAATCCTAGCACTCAGGAGGCTGAAGCAGGAGGATTGCCGTAAGTTTGAGGCTAACCTGGGCTACAAAGTCAGTTCTTGGCTTGGCTGAACTATATAGGAAGACCCTGCCATGAAAAGAAAAAAGCCAGGTGCACACCCATAATCCCAGCACTCAGGAGTTTGGGGCAGGAGGATCACTGCAAGTTTGAGACCAGCCTGGGCTACAAAGTGAGTTCAAGACTAGCCTGAACCACATAGCAAGACCCTATCTCAAAAAGACCAAAAACAAACAAACAAACAAACAAACAAAAACAACCCCACAAAAAACAAACAAAACAAAACAAAATCTAAAACTAGAGGTTCCATTTGACCCAGGTAGTCCCCTACTTTTATCTTCCCAGAAGAATTAAAAGCATCACACCACAGTGGCATATGCACCCTATGTTTATAGTAGCACAATTGGTAGTAGTTATATCTTGGAAAATAGCCCAAAAGCCCATCAATATATGATTGGATAAAGATGTTTTTACGCAATGAAGTACTACTCTGCCTTAAAGAAGGACAAACTTGAGGCATTTCTAGGTAAATGGATGCACTGTGAGACCATATTCTTCAGTGAAATGAATTGGACATGGATGTGTAAATATCACATCATTTCTCTGTGGTGAGAAACTAAAAGTGTAGGTAGTGTGATAGATACTGAGAAACAGGAAGAAAATATTCAAATGGGGAGGGAAATGAGAGGGAAAGACAGGGAGGGAAAAGAAAAAGAATAGAAGATGAAATAGAAACAAAGCTTTTGTAAATAAGAGGAAGAGGGGCTGAAAGGAGAGGAGAGAATTGAAAAAGAGAATCGAGATATATTAGGTGTACATACAAATTCGCTATATTGAATATGATCATTATATATACCTAAAATATGACAATAAAATTAATTTAAAGAATAAAAAAGAAGAAACTCTCCTTGATTCTTAAGACAGAAAAGGGGGAGCATTCATCTTACAGGACATCTCCCTAAAGTACTTTTTTATTCTAAATTTTTTTTCATACTGGGAATTGAACTCAGGACCTCATACTTGCCAGGAAGGCACTGTGCCATTGAGGTATATCTCTGGCCCTAAAGTTTTAAAATTATAAAAGTTGAAAAACATTCTATACCTGCAAAATCAAGGCCTAGCCCCGGGGTTTTGTATTGGTACCATCATGTGGCCCTGAATAGTGGCTTTGGTGGAATCTCTCACTGCAGGGAGCAGGTATATGTCTGATTTTATCACCTCCAGTTCCTCTATGGGTTCCCATAGAGCTGCTCATCTATCTATCTATCTATATATTTTTTGTTTTGTTTTTATTGGTACTGGGGATCGAACTCACGACCATGCTCTTGCAAGGCAGGCCCTTATGCTGCTGAGCTAAATCCCCAGCCCTGCTCATCTATATTTTGTGGCACCAGGTGAGAAGCAACCCCGTCCCCAAGCTTCGGATGAAGGCTCTGCAGTCTCTACTGAGAAGGGGCGACAGGGGGAGAACGAATCTGTCATCGTCCCCAACACAGTTCCCAGGGCCAGCTTGGAGAGAGATTCAACAGAGCACTGCACTGGGGAGAGATTCATCAACCATCTACAATTGGCCTGCAATCACCTGGCCTCCCTTCCACCCCAGAAACCCTCTTCTTGGCAACAGTGGCACAGATCACCTCTAATTCTAAGATAGGAAAGGTAAAGGGATTCTTTTTCATTCTGCTTCTGCTTACCTGTACACCAAAAGCAACTGACATGGTATACTGGGGATATTTACTTACACCTGCTGTTTTTTATATAGTCACCTGGGGGAATCCTGAGCGTCCCCTCCCTTCCATTGACACCTCTTACACTGGCAGAGTCTGGCTGCCCCCTCCTGGCCCTATAAGAGATACCTTTGAGGGATTGTGGCCACTCTGGAAGCTTTAATGGCTAGCATTTATTGCTTCAGGAATGGTACTTTTTGGATTGTGTATAGTGGTTTGTATCTAGATGTCCTCCCAAAGCCTCATGAAGTCATAGGAGGGGCTTTTTCAGAGGTGGCTGGATCTAGAGTATGTGGTGCTGGGATTGATTTACGGTACAGTGCTAGAGTGAAGGGCACTGGAGTTAAAGGTGTAATTGCCACCTGCCCTAAGTAGCTTGGATAAAATATAAGGGATAGAAAGAGCTGTGATTGTGCCTTGTTGCTTTGCTACCTTCTGCCCACCATGAACTGTTTCTTTCTTTCTTTTTTTTTTTCTTTTTCTTTTTTCTGGTACCAGGGATCAAACTCACGGCCGCCTGCTTGCAACGCAGGTGCTTATGCCACTGAGCTAAATCCCCAGCCCCCATGAACTGTTTCTTTTCTGTGATGCCTGTCTGCTATTCCACTCTGCCTTGGAGCCAGGTGACTATGGACTGAAACCTCTACAAACTGTGAGCTAAGTAAACCTTTGACCCTTTAACTTTGGACGTTAGGTATTTTGCCTCAACAGTGAGAAAAGTAATGCAGTTGCTAATGTCACCTCTGGGAAGTACTGTTTTCCTTTTCAGCATCAGTGGTACATAAATCATATTTTCATCAAGCTAATTGTTATAAAGGGACCCATCATCAAGTTTGCATTAGTACTGCTGAGTCCTAGGTTCCTCTGGGTCTGGCAGGCACCTTCCAAAACCTAGCAGTCTTGTACGTTGTCATTTGTGTGAACATAAAGGAGACAACCTAGATTTAGTGGACTTTATGTTCGTCTGCCAATCCTTCTGTTATGCATCTTGCTTATAACCTAATCCTAGAAAATTTGGGACTCCATAGTTTGTGTTAGAGTCTAATTTCACCTGCAATTATAGTTACTTCTTAATTATAGCATCAGTCCTCCCTTGTGGAATCCTCCCTTGCTAGACCTTTATTACATCTTTCTTCTGGAACCTACTCATCTCCCCTTTTAAAAAACCTTAGGCCATTTAGCTATTTCTTTCCTTGCGTTGTCAGGATCGGTGGCTATCAGCAGCTCACGTGGATTGCTATGTTACCTCTGACCTTGTCATGATCTGTACTCCCACCCATGTATTTTGGTCCTTACTAGGGAAGAACCTACTTTTACTGTTTATGTTTTACCCATTCCTGGGTACTGACCTTTCAAGGCTCTCAGTATTACTTTGCCTGCAAACTCCACAGGGCTCATGCCGTGTGTCACTAACAATATTTCTCAATTAAATACAGCTCATTAAATACATTATGGTGCTTAGAATATAGGTTAAAGCCCTGCTCTCCACCAGTGTACACATCATTATATGAGAGACTCTGCTGTTGAACACCTTACTTGAGCGCTTGAACAAATCAGACAATAACAGGGTTTGAGCATTCTGTTTACTGCCATTACAGCAGCAATGGCACTGGCAGCTACTGCAGCCATGGCAGCCGTTGCCCTGACTCTGCCATCCAACTGCTCAAGCTATGAATAGCTCTTTCCAGGATGTTACCTTGGAATTACTGGCTCAAACTAACAGCACGAAAGAGATTCTGCAAAGACTTGACGTCCTTGAGGCAGCTGTCCATGGCTGGGCAAGCACCAGAGGTTCTGTGGACATGTAATTGATTT